TACGTGCGAGTGTAGAGTACGTCCTAGTCGACCGCCGACGGGTCGCGCTTGGGACTTCAGCCACCCCAAGAAGACGACTCACGCGCGGGTTCGACAAAGGCGTAATACCGCGCGTACCCCCTATGCTACAACGAACGAGAAACGCCCTCGGCTGGTCCACCTCTGCGATTGCAACAGAGTAGCTTTCGTATTGTGGACTGGTAGCTCAGTGGGGATACGTCCACCGCAGGGAGGTGTCAGCTCCCGAATGGTGGAGGTAAGTTGTGCCTCGCGTAGGCCCTATCCTGTCGTAAGGGCTCGCGAGAGGTATGGCTGGCACACCCGGCCGGAGCGGCCTATAGGAAGCTCCGTTGGATTGTGTTCATGGTTAGGTGGTCCTATTCCTGCGTGACACGGCCGGGAGGGTCCCGCGCTGCTTCGTGTGGTGCCGGACCGATGCGCTCGACAGGTGGCGCCGTTGCCGGGGATAACGGTTGCCTACCGTTGTCCTTGGTGGAACGACACTCGGGAAGGTTGAGAGAAATCGGGCATTGGGAGGTTTGAAGGTACGTGTGGGGATTGTATGTGGTAACATCTGTTTTTCGTTCTTGTATGTTCTTATGAGCTAAGAGTAATAAGGGTAAGATTTTATTTTGACCTTGTCCGGGATTAGGCTAAAGACGTGATAGGCTAGGTGAGGAAGTCTGGGACTTAAAGATAGAGAGCATGAAAGGGGAGAGCTATGTTAAGATTATGGTAGGGTTGTAGGAGGGAAAAACCGTATGTACATAGTAGGACGTAATGACTGAGTGAAATTGTTGTGTGCTCTCGATCCTATAGCAGGGAAGTTTGAGTAAAGGAGCCGTCAGTCAAAATGCCGGAAGGCGAAGAAAAGACAATGATGATCGATGACCTCGTCAAGGCCTTGGACAGGCGAGAGAGAATGGCCAGTAATGTACCTAAGGTTGACACGTTCCACTTTGACGGGGAGCGAGTCTCCGAGTGGTTGGACAAAGTGGATCAGGCCCTGGTGGGATTGGCAGACGAGGTGAAACTTCAGCGAGTACTAAGATTTGTACTTCATATCCACAACTCTGAAGTACAGAAGGTTATCGACGCGGCCAATGGTAGTTGGGACCGCTATAAAGAGGCTATGCGAAGGAAGTATAGGCTAGGGGATGGAATGCTGACGACCACTGATCTGGAAGCCATGAATCGGGATGACTTCACAACAGTGGGAGCCTTCTTGCAGGCATTTAAGAAGAAAGCCAGGAAGGTTCATGGGGTCTCTGAAGACGCTTTGTGTGCGATCTTCTTGGGGTTGATTACGACTTCGGAGGCATCCGAAATAACGAGTCATGGGGTAGCAGGTAGGGCCAAACTCACCTGGGACACCATCGACAGAGGTGTAGCAAATGGCAGCCCGGACCAGGTTGAACAATACCAAATGCGCCAGCAGAGGCGGAAGAGGAAAGAACGGGATGCTACGGCCTCGGGAACCCCGGGGGTAAAGAGGATTATTAAGGATACGCTCGCAGAACTGGGGTATGGTCAGGACGAGGTAATACAGAAGAGGGTGATAACTTCTGTCCAAGGAAGAGGGAAAGAGGTGGTGAATAAAGAAGCCGCTCAGCCGGACTGGGAAGAGGAGGAACCTGTGCCTGTGCACCTTACGAAAGCACAGAGGATACTACACAACCAGGCGCAGGGAGGACAAGGCACTGGGAAGGGTCAACTACATCAGGCGGCAGCGCCGGCCGCCGCATCAAATGTAGCTGGCCCGTCCAACAGTGTCGGGGCCCCACTGGTATTGATGCCACCACAAGGGCAATGGGTGTTTAACCCCGCGCCCTCATGGAGCGGGCAGAACGCAGGAGGGCAAATGGTGCCATACGTAAACCTGCAGAACACTGCGCCGTCCCCAAGTTACCCGGCCACGCAGGCCCAACCCATGGCACCACCCCCATCGCCCGCGCCATCACAAGATAGTGTGGCAGGAGGTGGAGGCYAGGGTCAGAGGGGCCAAGGGAATGGTGGTAGGGGTGGAGGAAGAGGACGTGGAAGGAATGGTGGTGGACGAGGCGGTGGACAGTGGGGTAACCAAGGAGGTCAGAATCAGGGGAGTCAAGGTCAGTGGAACCAAGGTGGACAAGGTGGTGGCAGAGCGTATTTGGATTGGAGGACGGCAATATGTCAACACTGTGATAAGAAAGGACATACCATCCGATTCTGCAACCAACGAAGGGACGACGAGAGAGAAGGGTTAGTCTATTCAAGTATGGATGGGCATATGTTCGACCAATTCGGAGAAGAGATAGACCGTAAGATCCCAGGTGGGGTTAGAGCGGAGGTTGTAAGGAGGAGAGCGGCAGGAGGGCCACCAGCACCTCCGGCAGTATTCCGGCTGTGGCAAGAGAAGGAGGGTCCTCCAATAACAGTGGAAGAGATTGAAGAGGATGAAGGAGGGCATCTGCAGACGGCGAGTGAACGGGTGAAGGAAGAGCCTGTGGTTAGGGAGGTGGAAGACGAGGAGGAAGCTGAGGACAGCTCGTCGATCATGGACCTCGTCGCCAAGATGGAGGACTTGTGGGGGAAGATGGGAAGGTACCAGCAGAAGCTGCAGGATATCTGTGGGGAGGTGAAAGAGTGGGAGGGTAGCCTCCCCAAGGTTTATTTGCTGGATACTGACCCCGAGGCAAGGCCAGAACGCCGGAGCTACCCCAATGTAGCTTCGGTGGGGTCGGGCGCACGGCCAGGGGGATTGATAAGGCCTCCTACGGCACAAAGGAGGGTGGTGCCCGCAGCCCGAACGAGGAGTCGAGAGAAAGCTGGCCCAAGTCAGGAACCTCCACAAAAGGAGCCAGAACAAGAAAGGAGGAAAGAGGCTGTGGAGGTGGAGGATGACAGTGAGGATGAGGAGCAGGACGAGAGGCTCTGCCGTGAGGAGGATGAGAGGGCAGAGCAACGGGCCAAGAAGAGAGGGGTCAGAGAGGACCTTGAGCCAGCCTTGCGCGATACGGCGCGGAAGAAAAAGAAGTACGCGGTTCGATTGGAAGAAGGTTTTGATGTTGAAAGTGTGATCGACCGTCTGCTGGAGGGCCACAATGATTTGTTGACCCTAAAAGAAATTTTAGCCTCTGCACCCCGGCTCCGTGACAGTCTGAAGGGGAGATTATAGAGGCGATTGATACCCAGCGTATTTCTGGGTACTCTATTGCCAAAGGAGATGGAATGGGCGGAGCCAGGCACAAAAATGGACTGGAAGTGTGTAGCCTGTGGAAGGATACCACTGGTAGTGAAAGGCACCAAGGCCTCCGTGATGGTAGATACAGGCGCGGAGATGAACATTATTCGTGAGGAAGATGCCATTAGATTTGGTCTGGATATAGACCGATCTGATTGCAGCATCTTACATGATGCCAATTGCAAGGCAACGTTTTGGGACAGTTTCGAACGTGCTGTTAGAAATTAGGAAGGTAAAGTCCATGGCGTGCTTTTTCGTTATGGCCGATGTGGATCATGGCCTTCTCCTAGGGAGGTCTTTCTTAAGCCGGACAGAGACCCTGATGTTTAACAAACATGACGCTACTCTGATCCTGCTGATGTGCGATCCAGCCTATGGTAATTACGAGGTGATTACCTACATTAACACGGGGCCGCGCAACATAAGAAACAGACTCAGTCCCGGTTCCTTCACAGTTAAGGAAATGGAAGAGGAGCGGCGAAGGATCCACATGGAGGTGGAAGCAGAAGAGAAAGGAGAGGCGTTCGCTCTCAGTTTGGCGGACGTGGATAAGGCGATGGATTTGGTGGCAACCCACGAAATGGCGGATCCTGATGCCATCCAAGCTCTGAGAGAGCAAGTTTTGGAATGTCCCCAGGTGGGCGAGCTAGAGCTAGTCTATCGACTACCTGGTGGGAGAAGAGGACCGGCAGTGATGCAGGCCCAAGCTGTGAGCCAGCCTTTTTTAAGGGAAGGCTCAAGCAGGGCTCCAAAAGGCGGTACAAAACGGTAGATAAGAAGTGCGGCCCAGTTCCTGTCCTCATTACAAAGGATGAAGCATTTTACTACGAGGAGGAACGAGAGCTGATACGACAAATGAAAGAACAAGCTGCATCAGGACCGTGTCGTATCAACGAGGAGACTGAAGGGAAGTTGATCATAGGGGAGTCAGACTTCCTACGGCCACAAGAGAAGGCATTGATGCTGGAGCTGATAAAAAAGAAGGATCGAGCGTACACGTTCAACGATGAGGAGAGAGGGAGGTTGGACGTGGATAAGATCCCCATGATCCGGATTCACACCGTGCCGCATGAACCTTGGAATTTGCGAGGGGCACGGTATCCGAATCCTGGCGAAGAGCAGAAGGTGGTGGATTATTTGGATAGTAAAATACGAACACACGTCGCCGATTATTCAAGTGGACCATACGCAAGCCCTTGGTTTTGTTTTATCAAGCCTAATGGGACTTTGCGTTGGGTCCAAGATCTGCAACGGCTGAATGCGGTAACTGTGCGTGATGCGGGAGGTTTACCTAATGMGGACGCCCTATCCGAGTCGTGTGCTGGGAGGCCTATAATATCCATTATAGACCTCTATTCAGGGTATAACCAATTTCCGGTCTACCCGCCAGATAGGCCAGTGACAGCCATGCACACGCCGAGAGGGTTAATTCACATGAATGTGGCGCCGCAAGGGTGGACGAATGCAGTGGCCATGGTTCAACGTCACATGATCCGGGCCATGCAGACAGTCAGCCCAAGCATTACGCAGCCGTACATCGACGACTTGGCGGTAAAAGGGGCTAGAGAGAAGGAGTGTGACGAAGTTTTGCCGGGGGTTAGGCGTTTTGTGTGGCAGCATATTCAGGATCTTGACAAAGTCCTGAGTTTGCTAGAGGAATACAACCTTACGGCAAGTGGACCTAAATCTAAGCATTGCATGAAGGAAGCGACCATTTTGGGCTTCGTCTGTAATGAAGAAGGGCGACGGCCTGACATAAAGAAGACAGATAAGATCATAGAATGACCGGTACCCGTTCAGTCTGTTACGGACGTAAGAAGTTTCCTCGGCACATGCGGGTTTTGGCGTACTTTCGTCAAGAATTTTGCCGCTAAGACTGAGCACTTAAGAAAGCTAGTTCGTGAGGATCAGGAATGGATCTGGGGTAGGGAGCAAGAGGAAGCAGTGGCCAAAATGAAGGAGGAGTTTCGGGAAGGAGGATTGGGCTTGGGAGCACCCGACTACGATGCAGTGGAAGGAAGGCCGTTCATAGTGGAGACAGATGCAGGGCCAACTGCTCTAGGTGGAGTTCTTATCCAGGCGGATGCAGAAAAACAAGGAGCGACCTTTAAGATTCGAAAGTCGGACTCTTAATTCTGCTGAGAGGAATTACTCGTAGTTTAAGAAGGAGACCCTCGCAGTGCTCCATTGTCTGAGGATCTTCCGAAATTATATTTTCGGTAGAAGGTTTGTACTAAGGGTTGATCCTACTGCACTAGCCTACTCTTTGAGGAACTATATCCCATCGGATCCTACAGTTGCCAGATGGCTGACATACATCTGGATGTTCGATTTCAAGTTAGAAAGGATTCCTGGGGATAAGAATAGGGCGGATGGGCTAAGTCGAATCGACTGGGACCAAAAGCAGGGTGAGGCAGAGGAGACGACGCCCCCAGTCGATGGCTTTTTGGAGGAAGAGGAAGATGTAAGACTCCACATCAATGAGTGGTCTTT